CAACTTTTTCTCTAAACCTGACTCATTGGTATGCACAGGAAGATATGCACTATCGTTCTTGCTGGTGGATCCGGAGTTGTCACCCACAAACAGATTTGAGCAGTTTTGCAATATCAACTATTACTTTTTTTCATGAAATTTCTGATCACGTTTTCCTGACAGCTAGATTACGGTTTCTTGAGTAGGTACAGGCAGTTAATAGAATGGGACAAAAAGGAAGCAATGTAATGAAATATAACTTAAACAGGTTCATAGAATTGGGACGCATAGAAATATTAAAAAAATTTGAGATTGATGCAGAAATGTAAGTCAACTATACAGGGAAGTAAAGAACATTTATTAGTAGATTTGCTAAAAGAAAAACTGGTCATTGGTTTCGAATGCATTTTCGTCTTGAGGCTTTCTAATAATTCAAGTACATATGTGCTTTGTTTATGACTTTCAGATTATTTTGGTTTATTTTCAAAATTATGTTAAAAATTTACTCACTGCAGTCGAATAATGTTCAACGAAAAATCATGCAAACTTCAGTAGCTTGTTGTCGTCAATTTTAGGTTATATTGTGTTGCTAATAACTAATGTTTTTTTTATCGAATGATGCGTGTGGTACTTTTGGAAGATAGCAACTATTTACCTTTCTTATCTTTCTTTTTTTCTCTTAACTTTTGGTTTCTTTGAATATCTGTCACTGAAGAGCTTTGGTGAATTATGGGTGTGTGGGTATTCTTCTTCTGCTAGACGCGACTACCCCTTCACACCGATAACTTGAAACATATTAAAAAAAAGTAATTCACAGCAAAAGTAACAAAAGGAATAATGAGAGAGCTAACAAATTTGGCCATAAAAAAAATTCTACTCCGTCTTGCTTCAGAAAATAGTTTGATTAAGCTGCAGATACGGATGGAACTTTAACTTTCTTTGAAAAAAAAAAAATGAAAAACAACTATTTTTCAAAGGGTGTGGATCTCTTCTTTTCGTACACGCTCAAACCTAAATCTGAACTCAAACCCACATTCCTGTTTCAAATTACACCCGCACACCCATATCCACATCCACATCCCACCCACACACCCTAAAGTTTCATCGAGATGTAACCTCTGATTAGGATTTCTCAACCTTAATTACCATTGATGTATCTTAAGGGGGCCCCCCCCCCCCCCGCAATCGCTTTTCGTTATTCGTGGACCGATTTGGCTGAAATTTTCAGACAATATGTGTGTTGCGTTAACTAAATTTCTTGCAAATTTTTGACTCATAAAATTCTTGTTTTAATGAGTTATTGACAAATTAGTCCCCAAAATGGTGGTCTTCGTAAGGTACCGATTTCTGGGACTGTCGAAGAGGTAGAGAGCTACCTTTTGTTTTAAATAAAAGAGAAGACCTGAATCTAGAAATGTATATAGCGTTTTTTTCGAAATTCAATTTTGTTCGAATTAGCGAGACATTTTCCTGCAATAACTCGGAATATAGCGCTTTTTGACATCAGTGTTTTCCAGTTATCTCTGCAAAGATATCGAATTTCGAAAAAAACGCTATATACATTTCTAGACATAGATCTCTTCTTTTGTTTTAAAAAAAACAGTGGCTCACTAGCTCTTCTACAGTCTGAAAAATCGGTTCCGAGCTCTCCAAAAAAAGTGATTTTGAGAAAACCAATCAACGAGTTTGTATGAAACAATTTTTAATTTCACTATGACTGTCGCGACCTCTATACAGCAATTTCATCAAGTATACAGGATTTTAAGCAGAAATGACTACGTTCCTCTAATTAATTAATATAGCAGGACGTATATGTGTTTTTCTTTAACCAAAATCTACAAGTTTGTTGACCACTGCCACATCTCCCTAACTAAAAACATTTTTGATAAAACCTTATATTTCTACCAGTGCTCCCAGAAAACCGCTATTTTCACCACTCAAAACCTTTCAAAATGCAACAAATCATATATAATCTGAAAGAGGACACATTGGGCTTTCAGTATATGTGCTTATCTAAAAATCGATTTTCTGAGGGGGGTGTCTCCCCTTAAGAAGTTACGCTTAAATAAAGTTCGCCTGTGATATTTTTTGACATTTACACATATATACACACAAACGCATTTTATTTCATATGATCTTCCCTACAGTCGATGAAATAATTTTAGTACTAACAGTTCAATATATATAATGATGACTCGCATATTTTGTTTTTATTGAATATTTCATCTATTTTATTCATCATTTAGATGATAGTCTTTATATGTCTCAACAAGCGTGCCTGTTTTGTTTTCTCTGTTCTTTATTTGTGTACACTGTGCGAGAAGAAAATTGTGCTTTATCCATGTATGCATAAACAAAGAAAGCGGGGTCTCTTGTAGTTATATTTATTCATTATTGAATGATACCTATACTGCACATGTCTTTGCGCTAAGTGGAGAACCAAAGAAAAAAAGAAACGCATGAATAGCTCAATGACAACCACATGCTACGTTTTTCATATTAATTTTTACGCGCATCTCTTCGATATTTCTGGTCACGGCCTTATTCAAAGAAAAATATCAAATGAATCATAGACAACCTTTATTAAATGCTTCAAGTCAATTTTCTATCGGTAATGATGATGATGGTGACAATGGGAATAGGACAGAACTTTTGAAAAATAGGTATGATCTAATAAATAAATAATTTCAAGAAAATATAATGAATTTATTATTGCTCATAGTTTTTCTGATTGGCAACGAATTTTCAGTAGAAAAAAGATCGATAATAAGTATATGCAATTGAACGATGATGCTGAGGATAATGATAATGATGAAGCAGTTGGTATTTTCCATTTAGTAAGTGTATTTAGAAAAAATAAAAACTGATAGATGCTTTTGATTTTATTGTAGTTTCGGTTTGCAAACCGTATCGATTTTGTCCTAATGTTTATTTCTATGTGTTTGGTGCTGGTGCGGACGATTTGCATTCTAGCTAATCAAATTCTCGTTGGTCGACTCACAGGAATATTTGTCATTGAATCTTTTAGTGATCATTGTGATGATTTGCAGCAAAATTTTACAACTCCAGTAAACAACAGCAACACATATTCTCAAGGCATCAACCTCAATATATTCAATAGTGGTGTACCACATAAGTAAGTAACTAAAAATTGTTTTTAGTTACTATGTTATGTATTTCTTCTAATTTTCTTTGATAATTTTTCATCTTAGACTGCATTATAATAATACTCTAATTTTATCATCAACTTTACCTATGTCATCGCCTTCGTTTCGAGAAGAAGTTATGGATATAGTTCGCTGGTTATTCAGTAAGTGAAATGAACGTCATAATTTGATTATCACAAATAATTTATATTGCCTTTTTTTCTTGTCTATGTAGTTTGCAGTATCATCGAATATCTGGTAGACTTTATTAAAAATTTCATTTGGAGCATTTGTGTAAAACGACAGATATATCGTATGAGTGTTTCCCTGTTTCGATCACTTGTTCAACGAGTAAGTCGAATAGACTTCCTTCTGGAAAAAAATTTCCTCGAAGTTTAATCTCAGTCTTGTTTTAGCACTTCTATAAAACTAAAACTTTATGTTGTTTCTTTTGAAGAATTTTTTTATTATCCACAAATTAGCAAACTCAGCAAATCTTCAAAATAAGCTGAAGTATTTTGATAAAAGTTACATAAAGGGTGTCACGTAAGTTCTGATCCCCTCATCAAATATTTTGTTTTCTTACATGTGTCTGCATTCGAAGAGACTGATATTTTTAGTATTTATACTCGATGTCTAGGTCTACTCTATACTAGAATTTCACGTTTCCACTTATTTTTATTACAGTGATACAAGCATCACTAAAAATAAGAAAAAAAAGTTGAAATATTATCATGAATACCTGAATATTTTTTATTCTTGATTATAATGCAACGTGAATAGTTCTACTTGAAAAGACATCTACAAGTCGAAATTCGATTTATATAGTAACGGAAAAGTTGCTGGACATCGATCCGTTATAGACTAGATGCAATTTTTCTCGTTCATAATTGTTCTAGTTACAATTCAAAACTTCTTATTATTTTTGGTGATGCTTGTATCACTGTAATAGAAATAAGTAGAAACGTGAAATTCTGATATACAGTAGATCTAGACATCTAGTATAAATACTGAAAATATCAGTCTCTTCGAATATAGAAACATGTAAGAAAAAAAATATTGGATGAGGGGATCAGAACTTACGCGACACCCTTTATGCTAGAGAATTCCTACATTTCTGAAATCTTTAGATCTCTAAGGAACAGTTCAAGGTAACAGTGCCAAGGTATGCTCAATCTCACTATCGCTCACATACTACATGTTTTCTTAGAAGCTCTTGCAAATATGAAAGTTTTGAATTTTAATAGAATGATTGCGATCATTGATTGTCCTTGAAAGAATGCCCAATGGCAGCGGATTATGGCGTTGAAACTAAAAAGATACCCATTTTTATTATTGACATAGTTATAAAAGTAGTAAAACTGGAAATATTTCCTGAAAACTGAAGTTGAGATAGTGTTATTCAGAAACGATATATAATAAATACCAAGGAACTCATATGGTTGTTTCCGAAGTATTATTTATTCTCAAGATTGCCTTTATAGAAGCGAGCTTACTGTTACCAGATAGGCGCCACTTCACTTTGGAGTAAACAGGCTTTTTCCACGGAAGATGGAACGAAATCGCGTTTATGGCGTTGAAAATTAACTAGGGTTTCTGCCTTCTGATTTCAATGATTTTTTGCACACCGATACAAGACAGGACAAAACAAATGCTCTGTTCATATAAATTTTTTTTCAGTGTGGAACATGAACATTTTTAATCAGAGTTGCAGGAGAGTTTTCGAAAACCGTAAAGTTCGAGTTCGTTTAGAATTCAAAAACAATAGCTGGAGCCAACATTTATGGATGCAAGAGCAGCTAAAGTGGCATTCAGTCAAATCTTACTGTGTCTAACTGTTTGTCTCTCTTTCTCTGTTTTTAGAACATTCCTTATATGGATACCAAACCAATTAATCAACTGAATGCTAAATTATTTGAGTAAGTCATTCTGATATTGTGTATGAAATAACTACATCTGACTCAATTCTTGTACAGTAACATTACAAAAATCGATAAAAGCATTGGTTTCGAATTATTAATATTGATGGTAACGTCACTCAGCCTCATTGGTTGTTTGATAGCATCTGCCGTTATCAATTGGCAGCTGACTCTGATCATGTTATGTTTAGTACCTTTAGTCATTGGCAGTTCTTTTATATTTTCTAAGGTAAGAAATGTTGTTCAATCAATTATATCTATATGAAATACCATAGCTTACCACTAATGCAACAATCAATGACTTATTGGCATATTCAAAAGCTGGACAAATTGTCCTAGAAGTTTTTAGTGCACTGCGAACCGTTCTCTCGCTCAATGGTAGCCAGTTCGAACAAAAACGGTAAAGGAATACTATCAAAAATAGCTTACTTACTTTATATTATAAAACATGTTGTTCAATTCATTGTATTTAGATATGCAAGAGCGTTAGATGCTACTCGTTGGAGTATTATAAGACAAGGTGCAATATTTGGAGTTTTTACCGGATGGCTATGTATGATATCCTATCTAGCTTATTCAGTTGGTTTTGTCTTTGGTTCTCTTTTCATGTCACATAAACCTCATCATAGTTTGAGTATTAGCGATATTCTTGTCGTGAGTAATTCATTAAATCAATCATTATGTCAATAAATAAAGGATTACTATTTTAATGCAGGTCGTCTTCCTCTTCACAGATTGCTTGAGTTTCTTCAGTTTCATTGGTCCTTTTTTTCAATCGTTTGCAGAAGCTCGCGGCGCAGCAGGAGCGGTCTTTCGACTTATTGACGAGGTAAATCCGAGTAAATTAAACTTTTATATCAATGGTAGTATTTTCTATTTGTTTACATGATATAGGGAAACGACACAAGTGTTAATGAACCAGATGTATGGAAAGATGATGCAGAATCGAGTTCTAATATCAATGGTGATGTTGAATTTGACAATGTCGACTTTATTTATCCATCTCGAAAAGAAGCGCCAGTTCTGCATAATCTATCTCTTGTTGCTCGTGTTGGTCGGACAACTGCTCTTGTAGGTTCAAGTGGCTGTGGTAAGTTTTTCCGAAACAAAAAAGTGAAAATGATTCCATTTATATTTATCATTTATTTATAGGAAAAAGTACATGTATGTCGTTATTTCTTCGTTACTATGAACCTTCATCAGGTAGAATAACGATTGATGGTCGACCAATAACAGACTACAATGTCAAACAACTTCGAGAAAACATTGGAATTGTTAGCCAAGAACCTGTATGCTTTGTTTTAGTTTTCCTTTTTTCCATTCTATATAATATATTATTGTAACAGATTTTGTTTAATATGAGTATTTATGAAAATATTCGTTTTGGTAAAGTAAATGCATCAAGAGAAGAAATTGAACAAGCAGCACGAGAAGCAAATGCACATCATTTCATCATGCAGTTACCAGATGTTTGTGCCAAATACTCATCTTTATCTATCTATCTATATACATATATGTTACTATTTATTGTTTAGAAATATGAAACAGTTGTTGGTGAATGTGGTGTACAATTGAGTGGTGGTGAAAAACAACGTATTGCATTAGCTCGCGCCCTTGTCAAAAAGCCTACATTTCTTTTACTGGATGAAGCAACAAGTGCACTTGATAATGTGAGCGAAAAAATTGTTCAAGAAGCACTCGATCGAGCATGCAATGGTAACATTTGTTTTTTTCTGTTTATCGTATTAATGCAACATTTTGTATAGGCCGTACAACTATTGCCATTGCTCATCGTTTGGCTACAATTAAAAATGCTCATCAAATATATGTATTAGATAAAGGAAGTGTAATTGAACAAGGTACACATGAAACATTGATATCTAAAGAAGGCGGTAAATATCAAGCAATGGTCAAGCGTCAACAAATGGAAGGAATCTATGATAATCAAGATGATAGGAAGAGCATACAAAAAGCAATAGAAGAAGATGAAAAGTCAATACGTATGCTAATATTCTTACAGTAATAGTATTTACATTTCTGTTTTTTTTTCTGAGCAGTTGAGTGCTCTCGGTTAATTAGCGATAGTGAAACTGTTGATACGAACAAAGTATAGATATAACTACAACTATTTATAAAAATTATTATTGATTATCTTGGTTTTAGCAAATTACAAAACCATTTAGACAAAGATTTGTCTTTTTAAGACTTTTGTCAATGAATAGTCCTGAATGGATAACAATCTCAATTGGTTGTATAGCATGTGTACTTAATGGATCAGCTCAACCATTGTTTGCATTTTTACTTGTCAAAATAATTGAGGTGAATGATCCACTGATAGAAATATTGTGGAAAAAATTGAGAATTTTCATTGTTTTTCGGTCATTTTATTTATCATATAGGCATTTAAATATTGTTCAGACTCTGAACGACGCCATCATGTTTTAATTGCTAGTCTTCTATTTTTACTTTTGGGTGGTGTTGTATTTATTTTTCGTTTCTTTCAGGTAAATATGCTGTTTCTGAATTCGATCAATGATCTATTCACTCTTTTCTATAGTATACAGCATTTGTCATATCAGGATCAAAATTAACACAACGTATTCGCTCGAAAGCTTTTGCATGTCTTCTTCGTCAAGAAGTGGCTTATTTCGATCGACCTGAAAATAGTTCTGGTGCGATTTGTACTCGTCTTTCTTCTGGTGCATCAGCTATTCAAGAGATGACTGGTACACGATTAGGAGTCATCTGTGAAATTTTCTCTCTATCGTTTTTTGGAATCCTCTTTGGATGTTACATCAGTTGGCAATTAACATTGATCGTTTTCGGTTCTCTGTTCATTCTATGCTTAGTCGCCTATGGTGAAATATACTTAAGTCTTTGGCGAAATCAACAATCTGATCACATTATCACACAAGCGAGCATAGTAAGATCAATTTTCAGCTAACAGATTTTTTTCAATGCAAACTTATTTTATTATGACCTGTTTAATAAACAAGTAACGTTCGTCGGTTCGACTCACTTGACCCTCGACTGTATCAGACAGAAGTATACAAGTCTCATCTATGGACACCCAGTTATGAAACAGCTGATTAAGGGAAAACTTATCACATATGTCGGATAGACTGAATTTTCATTCTGAAAAATTGAATTGGTTGAAAATTCAATATTAAAAGCACGAGAATTGAATACTTAGCCGACGTTTTTTATGATATTTCACCTTCCACTATGACAAAAACTTATTTTATTTTATATAACCGTTCCTACACTCGAGAAAAAATTTATTTTCTCAAAAAAAAACCTTTTCTCCTGAACCCAAAAAACTTCAATTCAAAATTTCGAGAAACTGACCTCAGATTCGGATTCTCCCACCTTGATTTGTTTTCGTCAACCTTTATTCAATATCGTTATTTTCGCAAAAAACCCTTTCCTCAACCTAAAAAATCAATTGAAAATTTTGAGAAACTGACTTCAGATTCGGATTCCCCAACCCCGATTTACTTCGGTCAACCTTTATAAAAAATTTTCTAAAGTGGATGTTCTTTTGACCCCGATGCAGACACAAACACACACAAACTATTTTTTTTCATATGACCCTCCCTACAGTCGAGGGAACTAAATACACTACATTCATTCTTGCTTTTACTTGTGTAGCTTACTGTTGAAGTTATTAGCAACATGCGTACCATAAAACAGTTGTCAGTAGAAAAGGAAGTGTTACAACAATATTCTGAACTTGTTCATCAACTGTTTATGTAAGCCACTTAAAACTTATACAGGTACAAATTTTTAATCATGCTTGTTTTGTCATAGATCGTCTTGGAAATGGTTGCTATTATCTTCAATGACATTTAGTATATTCTGGACACTAGATGGATTCGCTTTGGCATTCTTATATTGGCGTGGTCTCATTCTTGTTGAAAACAATGAACTGACATCGAATCATATTATAACGTAATTGCAACGATAGTTTCTCATTTTGAGATGATGTTTAGTTATCTTTTCAATTCATTAGGGCCTTTGCTATTGCTACTTTTACAATACAAACACTCAAAGTTCTCGGACTGATGTAATATTCTTTATTTCTACTTTGCCTACTTCTTCTATGGTCTCCATTCTAGATCTAATAATATCGCTACATCGGTCTCAGCTGCTCAAGCCTTTTTTGATTTATTTGATCGAGAACCAGCTATTGACAATACATCTACTGAAGGACAAACAATAGTACGAGAACATATGAAATAATGATTTTTCTTTTAATCATTCACATGCCATTGACATAATATCATTCTTATAGGTTAATTTTTGCGGAGAGATAATATTTGATCAAGTCAAATTTATCTATCCAAGTCGGCCAACATGTTTTGTTCTTAATAAACTTCAATTGAATATCAAACCAAGTAAGTATGCTAAGATTTGATTGAATGATTTCTTTTAAATTTTTATTCACTGATAAGGTCAACATGTGGCTCTTGTTGGTATGTTTGAATTAGGTGTTTTTTTATGTTACTAACGTAATATGATGAGTACAGGTAAATCTGGATGTGGAAAATCAACAATCATTCAACTATTGGAACGATTCTATGATGTGACAAGTGGTGGAATAGTTAGTATTTCTTTAACGCTTAATTTAAATAGTTAAATAAATATTGTCCAATCAATGTAGTTTCTTGATGGCATTAATATTCGAAAACTAAATCCTCAATGGGTTCGTTCTCAGTTTGGTCTTGTTAGTCAAGAACCAATTTTGTTCGATTTAACAATTGCTGAAAATATAGCATATGGTTTAGAAAATGTTCCAACAGAAGACATTATCAACGCAGCAATTAGAGCTAATGTTCATCAATTTATTGAGCAATTACCTCAGGTTAAATACTACAGAATTATATAATGTATCTATTACTATTGTATGATAACTTTTTTTCAAAGGGTTATGAAACAAAAGTAGGGTTCAAAGGTAGCTTTCTGTCAGGTGGTGAAAAGCAACGTATTGCTATTGCTCGAATTCTCCTTCGTCGACCTAAAGTCTTACTCTTAGATGAAGCTACAAGTGCCATGGATTCACAAAATGAACAAGTAAGTTTTTCTTCTTTTCATTAATTAAAGCTTCATCTTCATTTTTTTCATTCATAGGTTGTACAAGAAGCTCTTGAACAAGCTCAAAGGGAAGATCCTAATCGAACGTCACTCATAATTGCTCATCGTCTTTCAACTATCCGCACATGTGATTTGATTTGTGTACTTGATAGAGGACATATAGTGGAAAGTGGCAATCATGTAGACTTGACACAACGACGTGGAGCTTATTATAAAATGCTTGCTCGAGACAAATTACAATGATCCGTACTGAGCTATTTTCACCGTGAAAAAATTTTTTTCAAAACATTATGAAAAACTTTGCCTGAAATATTTGATGCATGATACAGTTCTATTGATCGATTTTTTTTATACAATTTTTATCATTGATAAGAAGTTGAGTGCTTAAACGAGTTATAGTATATTGCATCGATTTTTTAAAACTTTATCAGTCATATAGGAAGGTAGTACAAACAAACATGATCTCAATAACTGCTTCGAGTTTGATTAATTTATACGACAACAATCCAATATAAAAATACTTGCTCCTTACTTTTTCGTAGAGTGATAATGGTCTAAAAATCGAACATTTTATCGCGATGTATTAGTCCGATTAATTGTGAAATGATATGACGATGAAATTATTCAAAACACAGTTTCTGCAAATTTCCTCTCGACTTTCATTGAAACTTGCAATTTTTTAATGATTCTTTATGTTTCATAGTTTATACACTAGTCAAATGTTCTCAGATAGCCGAATCTACTAACGTCTATCATCAATTTGATATGTAATAAATCTTGTGGACATGATAATAATGATCATAGAGTTTTTCAATCTATATATGGGAAAAAATGGAATGAAATATTTCATGATTTTTGTTGAAGAAAATGTTTTACAATCACAACACTTTAATAGGAGAAATCTGTCGAGAAATATACTAAGCATAAATCTAGAATAGGATTCCCATTTTAGTACAGTTCACTGCATTATTGGTTTTTGATCGATAATCTTGAACTTGAAACATGCGTCTGGGGACATTTTTGAAAAATTTTTGAATCTATAAACGTTTCGACAAATATCTTTGTTCTATGTGAAGAAAAAAATCACTAGATGTTATGCTCTACGATGAGCTTTCTGCTGTTAACTTTTTTCTCTTTACGTTCTCTCTCTTTCTCACTCAGTTCTGTGTTCTATTCTGTTGCTAAGTGCACGTGAGTGTATGTGAATAGTATGTATATGGAAGATATCTAGCTCTCTGTCGTTTCGATATTATGCGTCGTTTGTTGCTTTGTTCTGGTGTTGATAATATAGTAGTAAGAGAATCATTACACAAGATTACTAAACACGCTCTCTGATTGTCGTGTTGTTTATTTTATTTTTTATTGTAACTGTCTTACTTCATTGTGTTATATATACTTTTTTTTTCTATTCTATCACTTTTCTGTCGTCCCGTGTATTTATTCTTTGGATTCAGAACAACAGACTGTTATGATTTGAACAGCAGAAATGTTTTCAAATAAACAACAAGTAACATGTTTGTAATGTTGCTGGCATGGTCGTAAAGACAAAGCAAAGAACCCCTGTAAAAGACAGCATCATCGTGAAGCATTCAAACTGAAGTTTGCAGAAACCAATATAGAAAAGTTCTTTCAAAAAAACCTTAAGTACCAGAAACAGTCACAGATATTACCAATGACAATGAACAGGAAGAAGAACAACAATCTTCCACTATTATTTCACCATTAATTCCATCACATATTCATTCGAATCTCTCACCCATATCGTCCGCGCATTTAGCAAGTCCGACGCCCTATTCCATTCACGATCAATTCGTATCGATGGTGAAGCAACTAATAAAATTAACAAGTACGATTGAACAAATGAATTTGGATAAACGAAGAGGTCATGCATCATTATTTTCATAATCAGATGGTATTGAAGAAGTATTTGAAAATATCAAGTGTTCCAATGACTTATACTCATTCAAGGATACAGAAATAAATAATCAGTTGAATATTACTACATGTATACCATGTTCAAAGTTAAAATAAACATCCAGCAAAACATTTATGAAGTACAATTAAATTTTCATTCGGCTTATTTGAATACATTGAACACGCTCCGGCTCAACTTTAACTTCAACGTTTTCGAAAGTTAAAGAGAAATATAAAAGAACATACTGATGAGTGAAGAGTGATAAATGTTGTCAATGTGGTTTGTTCTTTTAATTAGTTCATTCTGCAGAAGTAACAAGTTAAGATTGTCAAGTATGTTCTTTTTCAGTAGCAAGAGAGATGAGAAATAATTGTAATTTCTAATATTTTTCTTTCGAAAACAATTCGAAAAGAGATTCTGAAAACATATTTTCACTCAGCTAAAACTTGTTTTGAGCCTCAATAGAAATTTCTATTCGGAATATTATTTGCTGAAAAGTTACATAGAACTAAAAATCTCTTGAATATTCACTCCCAATTCTTTAATTGAGAATCTTTCCTTGAAAGGTATATAGATCTGTTTGCAGAGTTGGAATGAATGTAAGATTAAAATATTTTACATAATAAATATATTTTCATCAATGCAACGTGCGGATGAGGATAAAACCTTGAGTAAATGCAGCATTTTGCGCATCTCATTTAAATAGATTAATGTAGCACTGTAGCGTTGATTACTTTTACCCAAAAGCGACCATTCATCAATGTATAATTTGATTAATATTTCATCAACTTTCTTAGATCCAGTCAGCCATGTAAATAAAAACGTCTAGTCTTATATGTAAAAATATAAACCTATTCCAAAAAATCAATCAAACCGTCTTTGAAAACTGCATTTACTAGGTTTATTATCCATTGAAAGGATATGTTATAGAACACATTTTAAGTTTGAATACAGGATTTATTTGCATTTGTTACATAGTAGAGAATCTTTATCAAGTTTGTCTTCTGCTGACGATATATTTCAGTCATTTCCATCTTGGCAAAGCGATGTTGGATATTTAAGTAAATCTATAATGGTGATTGTTTTCGGCGTTATCGAGTGTTTCAATTGATTTTTATGCTATTGAAAATTCATTTCAAAATTATCATTTTACTCAAAAAAATGAATAATGAATCGATTATTTTTAATTTTATGTGATAAATGAGAGCTGATAATTGGTAATGGAGAGATAAAAAGTAGAAGAATTTCAATATCAAAACAATAAGCTCATTTTTGAAGATAATTTATCGAGGCTTCAATTCTTTGAGAATATACGAGACGACGAGAAACTTCTCCTACTCAATGTCAACCAACGATGATGCAAATCTCGAATTTTTTCAAGCAATCAGAACTTGCTAATGGTATCGCAATCTACTAGATTGTATTTTTGACCATAACCTCTTGTTTTCAGTGGTGCTCTATATTGTTGACAAAGCTTATGTAACTTAAAATACGATAGCATATGAACGACAAACTTTTGATTGATACACAATTACTCCTAACTTCGAAAGATAGTGTTCCGAATGTATTAGATACGTACGAAGCAACTTTTCGTGATGATCGATCAATACTTTAATCTACTATTGTGATTACAATTAAAAGGAAAAGACATAGAACCATTTTCTATCGAATATCTCATCACTAAGATATGCCTATTGTTCTCTAATATTTTGTGCAATTAAAATTCATCATTGATTGACCTGTTCATCCTTTGTTTCTACTTTAAATATCGTTAATATTGTTTTTTTTCAAATATATATTTTCTCAGAAAATCCTCATTGTTTTCTTCTCACTCAAGTGACAAAAAAGTCAGTTTCGATTGGAATGAGAAGAAAAACTCGAACTTCAAATGTTTTCTATTCGATGTTCATTAAATATAAGAAAGTCTTCGGTTTTATAATGTCCTTAAAGATCGATCTTTTATTCTCTAGGTTTAATAGAATACATTATTTATTTCCTAGCTTGCACTGAGTGTATCTATCACTGTCCACTTTAAACACCGAAAGTCAATTGAAAAAATCGAGTCAAATTCATTGATAACTCTCATATCTCTTTGTACTTGAAATTATCAAATATCATATCAGAGAAGCGTCGCAGAATCTGCGGAAGGTTTTGATAGTTCTTTTTTGAGAAAAAAATTATTATGAGGTTGCGATGTCATTTTCTCTAATTCTATTCATTTTTATTGTTCTGAAGAATCTCTGCAACTTGGAGAATATTTGAAGTTAATTTGAGCAAAGAAACGAAACGACAACTTGAAGACTGCACATCACCACAGTCATGACATGTTGAATGAAGAGAGCCAAAAACTGTTCTCTTCCTTTATCGTTTGGTACTGCGTAGTTGAGTTACACTAGGTGAAGCAGAAATAACTTGCAAAAGGAAGTGTATGTTTTGCATTATACTATAGCGCATTCAAAACCAATTCAATTTTGTAGTAGCAGTAGAGACTAAATACCTCCCATGTAAAAATTTATAGGGCCTAAACGCGTTTTCAAGCGCGTTTTAGATGCGTTTGAAACGCTATAAGAACGCGTCTGAACGCATCTAAAATGAAACATCTGATGCGTCTGAACGCGTCTGTCAGATGCATCTGGACGCGTTTCAAAAACGCGTCTAAGCGCGTCTACACGAGCGATGAAACATCTGACGCGTTCAAACGCGTTAAAAAATCCGAACGCATTCAAACGCATCTAGACGTCAGGTGAAACATCTGACGCGTTGGAACGCATCTGTTGGACTAGACGCGTGTGAACGCGCTCAGAAATAAGAACTCGTCCAGACGCGTTTCAAAAAATTTCAGAAAAAAAAACATCTTGTTCTCGCAGATTCGAACTGCGGCACCATCAGAACCACTTGATGGTCAGCTCTATCGTAGAGGCATAGTACAGAACAAGTTATTTTTAATTTTCGACACGTAGATGATAAGTGCGATGATGCAGGCTAGAACAGATGAACTTATTAAAGAACAAGCTACTTACATGTGAGCTATATTTGCTCGTAAGAGTGTATTCTCGACGAAGATATCTTTGTAATTGTTTCTAATAACATTTCTAAGGCAGAATTCAGTCGATTATAAAAATATGCAATTATTTTTGGTTTTCTGGCTTTTTTTAAATAAAAAGAAAAATAAATCTTTTGTTTCAATTATGCAAAACTGAAATTTTACTTTTTAACTCAGTATATATATTTGTTCGAAACAATTTATCATAGAAAAAAAATCAATTTATTATGACTTAGTTTGTTTTTTCGTTCATTAGTTAAACTTTGGCAGGAGTTGTAAATTTTG